GGGGGGGGGGGGGGGGGGGGGGGGGGGGGGGGGGGGGGGGGGGGGGGGGGGGGGGGGGGGGGGGGGTGGTCCCATGGCCCCTCTCTCTGCTTGCTTGGGAAGCGAGGTGGCTGGCTGGGCAGTGGGCTTCCCTGCGTCCCATCGTAGATTCCTTATAGTTGGAAAAGACCTCGGTTCATCCAATCCAAACATCCCCCATTCCCACCACCACACCCACACAGAACCCTTCAGGCTGCAGAAGACCCTCCCCAAAACGATCCGGTCCAACCCCACCCCATCCCCGCAGTGCGCTCACAGAGTCGGAAAATCCCCCTGAGCTCACCTCCATCCAACTGTTAATCCAGCCGTGGTCATTAAGGCTGCTGAGATCTGAGATCTCTCCGTCCCACCCCCTGGTGGAGCTGTTAAGGTTGGAGATCTCCACCACCTCCACGTCCAGCAGTCAGCCCGTGGCTGCCCTGTGCCCACTCACCTGCTCAGCTTGGACCTCCAAGTCCAACCCCATCCCACCCCACTCAACCCCAGCCCAACCAGCAGTCCTCCTCTGCCCGTTTCTGGGGTCAGCAAGGTTGCAAAGACCCCTGAGGTCACCCAGTCCAACTGCAGCCCCTCGTTCTGCACTCTATGACACACACTGCACACAAACGAGGATTTGATCTGTCCTGTTTGTGTCCGGGTAGGTTTTGAAATTAAGAATTTCATGTAAGCGCTTTCCCCAGAATCACAGGAAAAGGGGATCCCTGCTTCCTCGCTCCTCTTTTGCATCAGCACTCCTCTTCTGCTGGACTTTCTTCCGTTTCCACACTTCTCTTTATTCTGCATCTCTGTTCTATGTCTCCTCAGTCCTCTTTCATCTGCGTTCGTTCTTGTGCTGTTCTCTCTTTCCCTGCATCCTCACTCCTCCTTCTTCCACATCTGCTCTTCGCTTCTGCTGTTTTTCTTCCTGTTTTCCTCACTCCTGCGTACGCACCCTCATCACCCTGCACCCCCTCCCCGGCCCCCCCGCAGGTACTTTGACTCCTTGCTGCAGCTGAAGGACCAACTCAGGAAAGCCGGCACGGAGTTCCTGAGCTGGACCGACATCCAGGACGGCGTGAACGCCACCAACTCCTCGGTGCAGGAGGAGAACGACCGTGAGTTTCCCCCACTCCGGGAGGGGGGCGGGGAGCCCGGCAGCGCCACCCGTTGCCACGGAGCCTCGCATCCCGCAGGGCTGCTGGCGGTGCAGCGGATCAACGCGGCGCTGCAGCTCTCGGACCCGCGGAGGACGTTGGCGGCGCTGCTGCTGCCCGCGGCCGCTGTGCCCGACGTGCTGCTGCCCAACGCCGTGCGCTACCACCGCGTCCTCGGCCGTGCGCGGGCGGCCAAAGCCCAGGTGCGGGGTTGGGGGCTGCGGGGGGGTGGGCGCACCGAGGGCGGTGCGGTGCCGGGCCACCCACCCCCACCACCCTTCAGGGCACCGGGGACGATGGAGCGGAGCTGTGGTGGGAGGAGATCGAGCGCGGGGTGCGTGCGGCCAACGAGGAGACGGCGGCGGTGAGGCGCAGTGAGTGCCGGGCATCTCTGCGCGC